CCCTTGCTGGACATGATGAAGATTTCCAGAATTTTCTAATAGGAGGAATTTCTTGTGGTTTCCCCCCACCACTAAAAACTGAACCTAGCAAAACCATAACCCCAGAGCTGCAATGGGACAGCAGAGGTGGCTTTGGGCGGGTGACACAGGGACAGGAGCACACCTGAGCTGATGATGGTCTCTGGCTCGGAGCCCGGCTCCAGCCCTGCCCGGCTGATGGTCCGGCCGGCCACGTCGGTCCAGTAGATCATCTTCTCACGGCAGTCGTAGTCGATGCCCACCACRATGGAGCCCTGCCAGGGTCAGGRCAGGGACACGGGGTGACACCCTGMCAGGAGGCTCCATCCTCATCACACTGAGAGCTGCCTGGGACACGCTGTGAGTGGGGAGTGACACCCAAACCCCATTTCCCCAGAAAAACCCGGCTCTGACGGGCTCCCACTGCCCCCTCCCAGCTGAATCCTGCAGCACAGGATTTAGGGCAGCTGGTGCAGCTTCACACCCACATCCAGATGGATCTGAACCCTTCACCTCAAGGAGAGGCTGCTCCAAGAGCAAAGCCAGCCYGGGGAATGACCTTCGGGATGGGGAGAGGGAACACTTGGCAAGGTTTTTCCTGTCCCCAGGGTGCAGGGAGGTTCGTGGCCCAGATTTCAGTGTTCCTCTGCCTTGGTCTGATCTGGCTGGAGATGCACATGGCCCGGCTCCAGGAGGAATCCAAGCAAGGAAAAAGGCAAGAAGAGCTCTGCAGCTGGAAGTGTGGGCTGTGACTGACACTGAACAGCTCTGGGAGCACCTGAACTCCTTCCCTTCATGGGCAGTGCCAGGTCTGGGACCTGTCTGGGACTTTCCTCTGCTGGGGATGGCAGGAGGGAGGTGAAATGGGATCCACAAGATCCCAGAATAGTTTGGGTTGGATGGGGCCTTAAAGATCATTCAGATCCACCCCCAGTCATGGCAGGGAATTTTTCCACTGTCCCTGGGTGCTCCAAGCCCCTCCCACCTGGCCTTGGGCACTGCCAGGGATCCAGGAGCAGCCACAGCTTCTCTGGGCACCCTGTGCCAGGGCCTCCCACCCTTCACAGCCAGGAATTCCCAATTCCCAATATCCCATCCATCCCTGCCCTTCATCCTCCCTTGTCCTGTCMCATTTATCCAAAGTGCCACCTCAGCACAAAGCCAGCGCAGCCAATGTCCCCAAACACCAACATCACCCCTCAAACTCTGCCAGCTGAGTGACCCAGAGAGTTGTGAAAACACCGAGGGACAGCACCAGCCTGTCCCAACCCCCGTCTGCCCCTCCTGCATCCCCATCCCCACCCCGAGATACCGTACATGCAGGGACAGCAGGGTCTTGGCCGCCTCCTTCTGCAGCCGGGTGCCGTTCAGCGGAAGGTAACCGATCTGCTGGCCCTGCGCGTACAGCAGGAATGTCCCCGTGGCCGGAGGGGACACATCGGGCCGGGGCTGGGGCCGGACACTGGGCGGGGCCACACTGGGCAGACCTGGCACACAAACGGAGGGGACAGCGGCGGCTCAGGGAGCGCTGTCCCCTCAGCTCCGCAGCCATTCCAGGGTCACAGCGGGGCTCTTACACGGMGGGGTGGTGCCGGGCTCCGAGCGCGTCCCCGGGATCTCCCTGCCGCTCTGCTCCACGCACCAGCAGTAGCCGCTGTCCCCRTGGCACTGCAGCGGGGTGAAGTCCCCGCCGCTGTCGCACTGAGGCACGTACTGATCCCCGCGGGGGCTGCCCCCGTAGTGCTCCAGAAGGCTCTGCCGCCAGCGCTCGCACATGCTGGGGGGCCTCTCCGTGGGCTCTGGCACGGGGAAGAGGGGACAGTCACCCCCTGTCAGCCTCCCCGCTCCGGGGGACTCGGGGCTCTGTTCCCCGGGGTGGCACTGACCTGGGCTCCCGCAGCGYGGAGGGGTTGTTCCCGGTGCYGTCCGGGTGCCGGCGATCTCCTGCCCSGCYGCATCCACGCACCAGCAGTGTCCGGAGCTGCCGTGGCACTGCAGGGGCCGGTAGCGACCCTGCTCGTCGCACTGGGGGATGTGGCCGTCGCCCACGGGTGCTGGCCC